GTGATACATGAGTTAAATGTATGCTACATGTGATGGATGTGTATGTTAAATGTATGATACATATGATGGATGTGTATGTTAAATGTATGATACATGTGATGGATGTGTATGTTAAATGTGTGATACATGAGTTAAATGTATGCTACATGTGATGGATGTGTATGTTAAATGTGTGCTACATGTGATGGATGTGTATGTTAAATGTATGATACATATGATGGATGTGTATGTTAAATGTGTGATACATGAGTTAAATGTGTGATACATGTGATGGATGTGTATGTTAAATGTGTGATACATGAGTTAAATGTATGCTACATGTGATGGATGTGTATGTTAAATGTATGATACATGTGATGGATGTGTATGTTAAATGTATGATACAAGTGATGGATGTGTATGTTAAATGTATGCTACATGAGTTAAATGTATGCTACATGTGATGGATGTGTATGTTAAATGTATGATACATGTGATGGATGTGTATGTTAAATGTATGATACATGTGATGGATGTATGATACATGTGATGGATGTGTATGTTAAATGTGATACATGAGTTAAATGTATGATACATGTGTATGTTAAATGTGTGATACACGAGTTAAATATATGATACATGTGTGTTAAATATATGATGCACGTGATAGGATGCATGTGCTCAACTTATGATACATGTGGTAGATATGTGTCTTATAAATGTGATGGATGCATGTGTGAAATATGATACATTCAGTGATTGCACCAGATTTTTTATCTATGAATTCCAAAATGAATGGAATCTTGCCATTTTTCAAAAATATACATTTTCATCATGTAAGCATGACCGTGTACTTCCATGATCTTTTGGCTTGAATGTGAGAGTTTTCAAAATGAGGTAAACCTAAACCATATATCAATGAAGATTTACATTTTGTCACTTGCTCTACAATAAGTTATCTAGGTGATTCATTTGTTTTCAGTGTTTAGGTAATAGGATGTCTATACATATGTGTAATTTTCATTGATGTTTTTTGGGTTTAATTTAAAAAATTTAAATATATTGTCCACTGATTTTAAGAAATGCCAGACTCAGGTTTTGAACCATTTGATCACATGTGTGAAGCACCTGCACATTGATCATGAGCTAGATATCATTGAAAGCCAAGAATACCTATAGTTCATAGAAAAGAAAAAAGGTGTGCCTAATTAAAATTTAAAATTGTAATTTGTAGAACCATTTTTTTAATTCATAAAAATTACTGTTTCTTTTAACTGACTTTGAAAAAGATTACTTTAGTTTATAACTTAAAGTTCTATCAAGTTTCATTGATATAAGTTGCAGAACTCATTTTCCTTAAAATATTTTTTATTTCTTAATACTTAAATTTATTTTTGTAATTTAAATTCAGATCTAAAAAATACTGGGAAGCCAGATTTAATTGTATCATTTATTTTGTGTGCTAAGCATATGAAAATGACCGTTTCTGAGCTCTTTTTGTAAACATCTGTAACATGAATCCGGTAGAGAAGCATGACAAATTTGCAAGTATGTGCTATAATTAATTCTGGATGTGACCTATGTATTTGATGAGATTTCTAGACCAACAAGAAGTCTGTTGTTTTATTACTGTCTCCACTTTTGTCTGTATGAAGCATTCTGTAGGTGTCATGATTCAGTCTGACTACCAGCACGAACAAGGGTTTCAGAATCAATTGTCTATATAGGCTTGTCTTGATGTGCAAGGGAAAGATCTGGATGTTTCCTGTTATAACATAAAACAACAATTGTTACAATGAGATTACCTTTATTTTTAAACATATTAGAATAGGTAATGGTGACACAAATGACTAACATTGCAAAATACTTGCACCAAATTATCTTTTTTGTTTTTTTCTTCCTAGAAAGTTTCAACATTATGGGACTTCTTCCATTTATACAAAAACTTGCCTTTCACAGTATTCGACATATTGTCCACTTTAAATGTGTATCAATGGTGAGACTGTTGTAGAAAGCTAGGCTCCAATATTATCACGTGACCAATTATCTCCACCCTTTCTACATGGCCTCAGGCATCAGTTTTTTAGAGACACCTAGGAAAGTTAAAGCTATTAACTCTTTCAGCATGAGCTCAGTCCCTGGGACCGACCTCGTAACCATTTTGTGCTTGTTATAGTTTTCATGCTATAACTTTTAAATTAGTAAGCAAATGTTAATGAAATCTGGCAGATTATCATTAAACAATACAATGCCTTCATGTTCAAAATATCAGATTTTTTAATTAACTCTTAAGGTTTATAAAGCAATATTTTTCTTATGCTTTTTTTTTTCTTTTTGCATCTTGCCTATCTATCATGCAAAGTAATTTTCATTTTAAGATTAAAAATACTTTTATGCATTAGAATTTTTTAAATTTCACATTCAAAATCTTTATAATGTCCAGATAGTTATCAAACATTTCTTATATTTTATCTGTTATTTTCAGTAATTAATTTTTGTATAGGTTCGGTAGATTTGAACGATCTCGCAACCACCGTAAAAAATTAGGAAATAAATATAAATTATGCCTCTCTCATTCTAGAATGACAACATAT